GGTTTGCCGGAGATCTCTCCACATATTATGTGACCTTACGATATTAACTACGGATCATAAAACACATAGGTTAACAAGTGGTGATACCTGGTATAAGTAATGTATTTCTTTTCGGGATATCAACTGTGATTTATATTTGGAAATAAAATAGGGATTGAGCAGAAATTTTTATTGTGTTTTGTGCTGATAGCGGCATTTTTATTATATTAGATAACATGGTAAGAATTCGTATTTTTTCTTGCTAAGCTAATATCAATATTCTCTTATATACTTAAACTAGCATTGCCCGCGGCTCCGCCCGCGTTCAGATGACCAAATACCAAATTTTTAAGTTTTACATATTAGTATACTCTTACATTGCTGTTTTTGTATTTTTTCTCAGAAATGAGATATTAAAAAAAAACTGCGGTAAAAAGTATCCTATATGTTGACCCGGTTAACTAGCTATCATCATACCAAATTTCATCAAAATCTGTCCAGTGGTTTTCTCGTGATGCGGTAACAGACAGACAGACAGACAAAAATTCTAAAAACTATAGTTTCGGCCTCTGTATCGATAATAATGTTTATTTCAATAAGATTTTCCAAAAAATATTTCATGTACAGATTCGGCTTAGTTACAATTTTATTATATGTATAGATTAGAATAAATTAATATTTTAGATATATGTATTAGTTATCATCACCAGTTAAAATAAGCCGATCACTTAAAATAAAATGATCCTTATTAAACACCGACAAGACACCCAACAACAGACAAAAGCTTTAATAAAAAACGTTCGCAAAAACCCAAAGAAGAATTTATTAGCTGTTATATTAAAAAATCAATGGCCTCATATTTTTAGTTCAACTCAGCTTTGTTAAAACAATAAGTCACGTTGTAAAGAAGTTCAAGGTGAGAGTAGAATTAGTTTTTCTTTCCAGACTCTCAAGTCAAACTAAGCGGGTCGACGGGCGACACTGTTCTTATGACAACCTCGCACCCTGCATCGAGCTAGCGCTATGTGAATTTCCTCACAACCTTACCATTGTCATGTAAATCTGATTTAGAAAGAAATGCAAAGTTTGCGAGAATGAATGAATATTTCAAATTACGCGAGTCTGCGTTCATTCTGACGAATATTGTCCAATTTGTCACATACTCAAGTTTTCTTTATGAAGTTGTTTACAGACGATGGTGTTTGCATTCATTGATGTATATTGCATTTCCTCTAAATTATGAAACAGGTTATTTTAACTTTAATACTTTCTTAGATTTACGCGAATGTTTGACATTATTAAATAAAACTATCTTTCGGATTATTTCGCGGATTTATTTTGATTTTTGGTTCCCGACGTTTCGAATGCTTTACAGCATCCATGGTCACGGGAGAGACTGAGGTGTTACATGTCTTAAAGATATAGTTGTTACAGACAGCCTACCCACAATTAACAAAATGAAAATTGCACCAATTACATTACAATATTTTTAACTTTAAACATTTTTTATAATTTTAATTATAATTGAATATGGAAAATTATTTATTTAATTTTTGCTATTATTTTTATAATTACTACAATTTTAAAAATATTAATTAGTAATCTATATTTAGTGTTGCCATTATTATATTTATAACCATAAATAAAAATATAAAAATATAGTATTAATTATTAAAGCCATATAATTGTTCTATGTGTAATTTAAAAAAGTTAAAATTAATTATGGATAATCATTTTAATTTAGTTTGCTATTATTTAAAAACAACTTACTAAGCAACACTATTAAATTTGTAAAAGTATATTTTAATAGTGTTGCTTAGTAAGTTGTTTTTAAATAATAGCAAACTAAATTAAAATGATTATCCATAATTAATTTTAACTTTTTTAAATTACACATAGAACAATTATATGGCTTTAATAATTAATACTATATTTTTATATTTTTATTTATGGTTATAAATATAATAATGGCAACACTAAATATAGATTACTAATTAATATTTTTAAAATTGTAGTAATTATAAAAATAATAGCAAAAATTAAATAAATAATTTTCCATATTCAATTATAATTAAAATTATAAAAAATGTTTAAAGTTAAAAATATTGTAATGTAATTGGTGCAATTTTCATTTTGTTAATTGTGGGTAGGCTGTCTGTAACAACTATATCTTTAAGACATGTAACACCTCAGTCTCTCCCGTGACCATGGATGCTGTAAAGCATTCGAAACGTCGGGAACCAAAAATCAAAATAAATCCGCGAAATAATCCGAAAAGATAGTTTTATTTAATATTTTAACTTTACTAAATTGACTTGACTAAATTGTGTATTTATTCGTAAATGGAGTTATTATTTGTTAACTTTAATTTATGAATGATATCAATTAAATAAAACCAAATGTAAGCGAAAATTTCTGCGTTTGTCAATGTTTGATGTTGAGACAACGTATTTTTAAGAATATTTTATAGGAGTATTTATACAAAGCATAGTTTTAATAGGATATATCATATAATAAAGTATATTGACGTATTGTATATTACGTATACAATATACGACGACATCTTTGGCTCAGATTGTAGTGAGCCTACTTGCTGTGCCAGCGGTAGCGGGTTCGAGTCCCGCTGGAGACTTTTGACTTTTCTTGGATACTTTTTATCCCGTAGCAATAGGATATTTTTATATGACAAAAACTGAAAACGCCTAGTAGGTTATTAAAGTACGAGCGAAGAGAGGGTAGGTAGGCAATTATAAAACATTAAAGTAATGAATACAACTAACTTTCATAAACAACCATTTATTTTAGACACTGCATGGCATTTGTATCTTTTACTCAAATATTTAAACGGAGCTCAAACCTAAGACCTGACTCTTTTGTCTTTTGAATAGTAATTTTAGTCCTTATAATAGAGGCTTATCTGCTGCGAGAATGCATTTCAAGTGTCCTTTACACGAATGAAGAAATATTTATAGCTAGGTGTAAACAAATGGCTACGTCAACATACCGTGATGCTACGATATATTTTTAGAGTAGAGACAGCAAAAGTATCAAAACTATCGACGTTCATGTTATTTTTATTAATAATAATAATAACTTTAAATAATAAAAAAATAATAATAATTTTAATTCCTCAAGTGATCTACTTTTGTCTCTGTGTGTTAATTATTTTCATTGATTATAATGTCTTCTTAGGGTTAGTGTAAATAATAATTATGTATTTAATTTGTTTCATATTTTTTTTAAAGTCTGTAAAAATTTACTTTAATATATGTAAGAATAAATGAAATTTAATATTAGTTTACGGATTAAATAACGATGATAATATGAAAATTAAAAATCATATATGATTCAAGAAATAAATATCAAGTTAATCATTAAAATTCAAATAGCCTTTATGTCTGATACTCAAATTAATCATATAAAATAATAAAGGTACCATGTAAGCCATAATTTAGTAAGTTTTACAAAGAAAACCCGCTTCCTTCATAATATCATTTACAATTAAAAGCAATTAATAACATCAATGTGGTAAAAGTTCTAATTGTTACACGATTCTTAGCGCGTCGTACCGAAACATCGATATTTTTAATAGGCAACACTACTAAAAGGCGGACAGGTCGTAGGGCGAGGGGTGTCAAGTTTTCCTCCAAACCAGCCAAAAATCTTTACAAATGCAAACGAGAGGAAGTTAAAGTAGAGCTCGGGTGTGAGGAAGACGGGTATATTGCATTCGACTTAGCTGCGGTCGCAGACACAAGAGGTACATCACTGTGTTTGAAAGTACCTAAATTTCCCTGCGAATTGGAGTGAACGAGAAAAAACAAATAAGTACGAATATCTAGTCTGTACATTTGGTTTTATAAATAAGCTGGTAGTCTTGGCAACTCTAAATATCGATAATACGGTTAAAAGCAATTATGTGTATTCCATAGTAAGTCACGCTAGCGTTATCGACTATTGAACAATTCACACGCTTTGCAAATTTCTATGAAACTTTGATGTTTGATATTGTATTTATTAATATAACAACATTATAATGCTTTAAATATGTGTTTATTTTCTCCTTAGCACGAGTTTTTAACAATAACAATTTCTTTCATCTTTTAGTTATCCTTTCTCTATCTATAAGATTATCTATACATATAATAAAATTGTAACTAAGCCGAATCTGTACATTAAATATTTTTTGAAAAACCTTATTGAAGTAAACATTATTATCGATACAAATGCCAAATCTATAGTTTTTAGAATTTTTGTCTGTCGGTCGGTCTGTTACCGTATCACGGAAAAACCACTGGAGGGATTTTGATGAAATTCTGTATGATGATAGCTGGTTATCCGGGTCAACATTAGGATACTCTTTACTGCGGGAAAATATCTCATCTCTGTGAAATCTATACTAAACGTTAAAACGTAAGTAGGGTGAGTTGCTAGTATTGTATAAAAAAGTCTCTTAAAACTAAAACTTACTCTAATCTCGTACAACGATTGTAGCGCAGATATAATATCTGACGTAAGATCGTAACGAACAATAAATTGGAACACAAGTTAAGGAATTTCTTTTAATTAAATCCCCACTGAGAGTTAAAAAAACGTTACAAATAAAAGATAGGAAGCAGAAGTAAGAAGAATTGAATAGGATTTATTTTTCAATATCAGAATAATGTGTTGAAAGAAGATTGTTTGAGACCCTCACTTCCTTATTATAAATATTTCATCTATTGCTTGTTATTTAAAATCAGAGTAAGTAAGTAAAGTATTGAATTTTTTCTATCCATTTTTTTCATACTAGTATAATCCAAATTAAATTATTTATATAAACAATTTGTTTATTTTAGTTATTTGAAGCATTATGTTATCACTATAGTTAAAATATAAATTTAATGTAACTCACAATCAAAAAAATCTCTACTTATCTGTCAAAGTATCATCAAAATATCGTATTATGTCAGACAACACACAGACAGACACTTAAACTCATTATGTTTATAATATATAGTTCTTTATTTTCTATGTCTTACCTGCCACCTACTAGCAAATAGTTTCCATCTCGTAGCAACAATCTGAAGTAGTCAGTGTGTGTATCGTTGCCAAGGAACTTGTGCGTGTCGTCCACTCCTGAAAAATAAAATTATATTAGTATGATTTAAGGATATTTATTTAAAACTAGCATTGCCCGCGGCTCCGCCCGCGTTCAGATGACCAAAAACTAAATTCTTAGGTGTTACATATTAGTATACTCTTACATTGCAGTTTTTGTATTTTTCCTCAGAAATAAGATATTTTCCCGCGGTAAAAAGTATCCTAGGATCGCGCGCTACATCGCCCGGTTTATATAGCTTGAGCAGGCGGTCGAGCGATGCGGGGCAGAGGGGATGGACTCGCCGTAGGCATCTCAATGCTCGCCAAGCATTAAAAATGTTTCGCTACTAATTACTTCTAACAACGATATCTCAAAAACTATTCATCTGATTGATTTAGTGTAAAGAGCAATTTTAATCTGCATTAAATGACTAAGCTAACTAAAATATTCATTTGGATAAGGATTAATACCGAACTAAAGAAAATAACTTTGAAAATAACGTAATGTTTTTAATTAAAAATGTTAACATAAAAGTGGTTATTGTAAGTCAACCGTAAGAGATAGAGATATGCTATCGCGGACTTTTTTGTAGCATTTTTATAGATTTTGAATTCTCTAGTACATTACTTAACTGTATCTTTGCTAGTTTACGCGGCGTTCGCGTGGAAAGTTCCCATTTGGCGAGATTTTTTGCGACCTCTTCAACATTTGTCGCCGTATTTCAGCTAATTTACATAAAAGCATAATAAATTATATACCTAAACCTTCCTCAAGAATTACTCTTTCTATTGTTGAAAACCGTATAAAAATCCGTTCAGTAGTTTTCGAGTTTATCGCGTACAGACAGACAGGAGGACAGACAGGAGGACAGAAAGACGCGGCCGGGGGACTTATTTTTATAATAAGTATAGAATAGATCTATAACAAAAGGCAATCCTTTTGTAGGGCATGTATTTATTGGAAGGATTTAGCATGGTTCTTTTCTCGCATGGCGAAATATTCTTTTATCATCGTGTGTTTATAACTAAATGCTATTAAAATTTTAATAGAGGCGAAACGTAGAGGGTGAAATATCTGCATCATCACAGAAAAGTACCTCAATGTTATTGTTAATAAGTGTTGTACATAAAATTATCTTACATTACTATAAAAAAACTAAACCCTTTTGTTTGTTCGTATTATCTGAGAATATTAAACTGGTTTAAAAATTCCTTAAGTAATATGTATCATTGTATATGATACTTTAGTAAGACGACTATTTCTATCGTAATATCGCTTTTTCTATCAAAATAAGCGATTCGATGGTAGAAAATTAGTACGAAATGACAGTACGCAATACAAATCTCAATAATTTTAACATAAAATTATAATAATTTCCATAATGGAAAATCTCTAAACAACCTTTGTAAGTTAGAAGCGTTGGTACTAAGGTAGTATAGCTCGATCACATTTCAGAACTCGCATCCACCCGATACCAATTATGTTAAAAGCTACGTAAAAGTTTCGATTTTATCTCATTAGAATACTGTTACTTGAACGATCACAGAACAAAAACAAAACAGAATAAGTATATGTACGGAGTTATTATTATTATATTGTGCTTTCGATTTATAATGCTATCAAAAGGTGATAGGAATTGTCGTCGTAAATATGAAAGTATATTTACAATACGTAGGCTATATATGTATGTATGTGTATTAAAAAAATATATCCTAAACAAATTTCTTCTGCAAACGATTGTTTGAAATCTATTTCATTCAGTACGTTTTTTTTAAATTTTCAAATAGAGATTTTTCCATTCACTTTTGGTTTTTTATCATATAACATTTGATACCACTTACACCATTCGTACTAAGCTGTTACGATGTTCCATGAAGCCGACAAGAAATTTGCATTTCCATTAGTGAGTCGGTAACAATTTATTGGGAGAATTTAAAGTCAAGTATAATGTGACTTTTACTACATTTGAACTAATAGATTCATGTTTTAATCTCAAATTTAATTAATTGTATTAACATATAATTAAATTTGTTCCAAATACGATAAAATACTCTTCAATAAGATAAGATAGTAGAAAAGGCTAAATTATATCTTATATAAATAAATACGTTGGGACATTAACACACAGAATTATCCAGTTTCATGGTAAGCTACGAGGCCTGTGTTATGGATCCAGATAGTTGATACATTACACATATATAACTTTAAATACATACATATTATAAATATAAACACCCATGACTGCGGTACAAACATTTGTGCGCATTACACAAATGATGCCCCCAGCGGGATTCGATCCCGTGACCGCTGGCACAGCAAGTAGGGTCACTACGAACTGAGCCAAACGTGTCGTAATCTTAGTTTTTCAAGTATTTCCCTGTGAGGTATGCTTTCTGCAATTCTAAAGGCAAATAAAGATAATAAGTGTACACACATAGTGAGCTATCGAGAATTAATCATTGTGTTTAATTTAAGTATATAATTAATTTAAATTTTATTTGTACATTGCTTACCAAAGTCATAAAACATAAAGTTTTTGTCTGTTTGTTTCTCCGCTAACTTCTTCTAAGCCACACAATGGATTTTGATTTCACTGCCATTTAGAGAATTTCTTTCGGATGGTTTATATGTATAATACATACATATTATAGTTGAAAAAAGCCGAGAATTTTAAAGATTTGTAATGATGTTGTAAAAAACGTATTTTTGGGCGCTTACATTACTAACGCTGGCTAAATCATTGGAGATAAATTAAAATAATATATTACGGAATTGTATATCTTAAAAAGGTCTACAGAAAAGTCCGCGATGATATATCTATCTCCAAAGAATAACCCGCTGCAACAATTTTTATCTTGTACACATTACTAAAAAATAATAGGTTTTTACGAAGCTAATTTAAACTATACAATATTAATCCTTATCCAATTTATCCGAATAGATATAGGTACGTTGTTCATTTAATGTAGATCAAAATTGCCTTTTACAGCATATTATTAGATGAATATCTTAGAAGTTATCACAGACTTAAATTTATTAAAACGTACCTAGTCTATACAAATATTACAAAGAGGTAAAGTTTGTGAGTTTGTGAGATTGTGAGTTTGTGACGTTGTAGGGGATAATCTCTGGATCTACTGAACCGATTTAGATGAACTTTGACAAGAAGATAGTTTGAGACCTTGAGAATTGCATAGGATACTTTTTATCCCGGAAATCATCCCTTAAGGGGGTGAAAATGGGGTTGAAAGTTTGTATTGGGAAGCGAGCGAAGCCAGGTTGAGCCGCTAGTTAATAATAAACACGAAAATATTACATACTTAAATATAATATATTATATTTTCATCAGATAAGAATTGCTTTTGAATAACATTTCAGAATCAGCTATTCGCTATTTCTGAAGAATAAGTGGAAAATGAAGAAAAGATTACTAGGTCGCTATTTCCTTTGTGAGTTCTATAAAGGATACGATGTTAAGCTAGTAATATACGGTAATATACATATACGGTTAATTTTATATTAAACTAGCAACTTACCCTCGCACCGCTCGGGTTCGTTTCTACTTTCGTTTTCTAGTTTAGTATAGATTTCTCAGAGATGAGATATTTTTCCGCAGTAAAAAGTATCCTATTCATTGACCCGGATAACCAGCTATTATCATACCAAATTTCATCAAAATCCCTCCAATGGTTTTTCCGTGATGCGGTAACAGATAGACAGACAGACAAAAATTCTAAAAACTATAGATTCGGCCTATGTATCGATAATAATGTCTATTTCACTAAGATTTATCAAAAAATATTTAATGTACAGATTCGGCTCAGTTACAATTTTATTATATGTATATATACATATAATAATATTATTAAATATCCAAGACATTGCAGAACCTAAAATAATATTGAGTTTTCACTTAAGTTAAGTCATGTGTATCAAATGTAATATAGTAGGTTCTTATTATAATGACTTTGCGGAAACTAGTTTTACTGAAATACAGATACGTATGTATCCTTAGTTCAGTATTAAATTATAAACATGTCAAGTTACATCAACATTTATATAGTAGTTTCCGCACACCCATCATACGTATTTACGGCGTTTTTACGTGTTTTTGTCAGCAATCCCGTGGGAAATTCGGTTCTCATCGAGATTTACTGTTGAACTGCAATAAAATATCATTATCAGCGAAAATATAACAAACATTTAGGCAATTTAATTTCTTTCATTGTACATATCTTTGAAATAAGATTATTTTTTAAAGAATCATTCGATCGGATCAATCTGAAGTCTGAACAGTTGTTCAGCGGCGTTCGCTGTTAAGATAAAAGTAATCAGTTGTGCGTGAAACGATATTCATAAAAAATCTACTTCGATCACTGTTTGTAAGATATAAAGCGCGAATAAGACGACAAGTAAAGTGTTCTGGCACGTGCGATGAAATCTGAGATTACTCAAAGGGTCCTTTTATGTGCAGAGATGGGTTCGAGTTTTTCTCAATGATATTGGCAGTCAAGCTTCCAATCATTTCTTTAAGCACTGGCAACAGAGACTTATGATGAAATTATATTATTTACTAGCTTACACTCGCGACTCTGCTTGGGTAGTTTTTTGTGCTCGTTGTCCATATTGTAATGATAAAGAAGGCCAACCGCCCTGAATAATAGCATAAAGTGATTTTTTTAATTTGAGTATGACTTAATATGATTCTAAGACAATGATTAAATTTCTCATTTCCATAAGTTATTTTAAAATTTCTTCTGTTCTTCAAATTAGCGAGTCAAGCAAGTTACTAATTTAAAATATTAGTGATGCTTTTCTTTTATATTTTACAATTTTATATGTAAAATATTTTCATTTTTCTATATCTACTCAAAACTAGATTGTAATAAATATTTGCAAGATTATTTATACTATAATATTATGAAGAGGTAAAGTTTGTGAGTTTGTGACGTTGTAGAGGATAATCTCTGGATCTTCTGAACCGAATTAGATGAAATTTGGTAAGAAGATAGTTTGAGACCCTGGGAAGGTCATAGGATAGGATTTTTATCCCGGAAATCATCCCTTAAGGGGATGAAAATGGGGATGAAAGTTTGTATAGCAAAAGCGAAGCGGGGGTGTGTCGCTAGTTATAAATATGGTCCTTAGTGCAAATTGAGTAACCTTTTAAGGGTCATGGTATAAGGAACGAATGAATGAAATGCTTAGCAAACTTGAAAAGTAAAGCTGTAAATCCCATTTTGATATTATAAATAGGAATGCTTGTGAATGTTTGGTTGTTTGTTTCTCAATCATGCGTTAATCATTGAGCAGATTTGTAAGAAACTTAACATCCAGACCATGTTTAATAATATACTTTTTGTGCTGGTAGTTCGTGAGATAATATTTTTATTTTCAATTCAATTCTTTGTTATGTGGCCTTTAGGATAATTCTACTTTAATGTTATTTTAAAAATACTTAGTTTCTCAACTTGTCAAAGGATGGCGCTATTTCCTTATAACATCAAGATGTTGAATATAATATATAAAGAAAGCCTTTTCACTCGGAAAAAGCCGTGGGCAAAGACTCGTTTAAATATGTATATAGAAAACTTACTTCTCTTTATAAATGTAGTTGGATGTATCTATTTATAGTACTGCTACATTTTTAATACGTAAAATCTGGAGTAAGTTCTTTTTAAAGTTTGTAAGGAGGTTGTATTGCGGAAGTAGGTCAACGCGCCAATTTCGTTCGGTGCGGCTTCAATATATCACCATACAAAAACTTGGGATGACAGTAATGTTGTTCTACCAATTTTTGCCTTATTTATATTTATATATTATGTAAATATACATAATATATGAAATAATTATTAAGTATAAAAATTTAATACTTACTTAACTTTACGCGAATATTTGACATTTTAAATAAAACTATCTTGTCGGATTTTTTTGTGGATTTATTTTGATTTTTTGTTCACGACGTTTCGAATCTGCATTTCGACTTCATACTATATAAATGCGAAAGTTTGAATGGACGGATGAAATTTGGCACATAGATTATAGTCTGGAATAGCACATAGGTTACTTTATGTCCCGGAAAAGTGTACTAGTATTAATATTATTATTAATTCAATATTGTTTGTATGTGTGTATGTGTATGTTTGTTACTCTTTCACGCTGAGACGGTTGGAGAGGTTTGTATAAAATATAGTACACATATAGACAGACTATCGATACTTTTTTAGTTACTATTAGACACCTATATGTCTGTCTTCATTCTCTATGGACGTATCCGAGCGAAGCGTGGGTAAGTTGCTACTACTTATAAATAATGTTACACACTGAAATTGCGATTGATCTGCACAAAAATGCTTTTAAACTTAAATTATAATAAAGTTTTTTAAATGTAATTTTGTGATAAAAATATAGGACGTTTTGCAGTTAAAACTAAAATGACGTGTAGTCATTTTTCATTTTTCAAACAATAATTTGAGCAAGTACATGCCAGTATCTAGCATTAAATTATACTTTCCACTATTGTAAGTTTTTACTGTCATTATTTGAAAACGAATCAAGATGAAAGTCTGTTGTATTTCATCTTTAAAAGAATATAGATTTTGTTTTTTCAAGTCTGTTTTTCTACTGAGGTTAGAACTGAGGATGTAGGTCAAGGCGCCAATTTCCTTCACTGCGGCTTCGCGATATCTCGACTATCGACTTTCTGGAATATCTCTAACATCTGGGGCGTTTTTGTTCGACTAAATTGCATCGATAGAATATCTTTTATGGCGCTTTTTGTTAATGTTAGTTATAGGATTGTGATAACAACTATTTTTTTATGTTTTTGTCATATCAATTTAGAATAAGCTTACCATACGTTTAATTTAGGTGTGTCCACTGTCTATACTTCTTAATTACTCATACAATATTATACTTCAATTCACGATCATCTATACTAAATTCTGTGTCCTGTCAGGGCTCTTACTAATATATGTACGTATGTTTTTCCTATTTAGCGCTAGGACAAGGCACCTACCTTTTGTCATAAGCTTTGATATCGACATCAGCTGAGAGTCCCTAGTATATTAAATTTATACATACACTAGCATATCCCGCAGCTCCGCCCGCGTTCAGAGGCCAAAAAACCATTTTTTTCTCAAAATTGAGATATTTTTCTACGGTAAAAAGTATCCTATAAGTTGACCCGGATAACCAGTTATCACCATACCAAATTTCATCAATATCCCTCCAGTGGTTTTTCTGTGATGCGGTAACAGACAGACATACAAAAATTCTAAAAACTGTAGATTCGGCCTCTGTATCGATAATAATGTTTATTTCAATAAGATTTTCCAAAAAATATTTAATGTACAGATTCGGCTTAGTTACAATTTTATTATACATATAGATTTTAGTATATACTTTCCCCTAATAAGTATGTTGTTTATTTACAAAAAATAATATGAAAGGCTTAATTTTTATTGGGTAGGTTAGTACAAGTATTAAATATAAAATGGTAAAATAAAGCGGGGTCGCGTAGTCGACCTCGGGGGGGATATTAAAAAATCTAATTACTGTGAAATCATTAAAATGTTCGGGCGCACCTGGCACTGAGGTGAGCCTTTATGATTGCACCGTTGCTTATATACACACACACACAGCCGTGAAAAAGAAACTCGTTATATGTACATTTCATGTACATACATACATATATAAAGTAGGTAAGTATTAATAGTAAAATATGTGTTTTTTTTTAAATTTGATATATTAGAAATATTAAGCAACTAGCAGAGCCCGCGGCTTCGCTCACGTTAAAACTACAAAAAAAATCTCTAAAAGGTAGGTACTTAGGTTTCATACAAACATTCATCCCCTATTTTACCCCCTTATAGGATGAATTTCGAAAAATGCTAAAACATTTATTTATTTGTTTGTATTGAATAGCATTAATACCAAGTTTAAAGTAATTCTGAACAAAAATAAATTTTTGGATTGTATTATAACGTATTTTCCCGTGGGAATGAGATAATCTCCCGCGGTAAAAAGTAGCCTATGTCACTCTCCAGCTCTCCAACTATCTTCACACCAAAAATCACGTCAATCCGTCTCTCCGTTTCGACGTGAAAGAAAGACAAACAAACAAACACACTTTCACATTTATAATATTAAGTATGAATGTTTCATATTGAAGCAATTGCTGATTCTAAATATGGTAGGTACTAGGTAAGCATTTCGACTTTTGAGAACAAGAATATGCCTATTTTTTGTGTATAAATAATATATTTTGTGTGTCGCGTAGTCGCGTGCTGCTACTGATGAATTTTGATAGGAAGTAATCATTGACTTTTTTGTGTTCATGATACTCGTATTTCTGGTAGTTTAAGTATTTCTCTTTAAATATTTAGACTTCAGAAGTTTTAAAATATTTCTAAAATTAATCAAACAAAATTATAAATATAAAGGTTTCGTTTTGTCATTTGAACTATATAAAGTATATTTAGTCGGCTGAATTAAATAAGTCACTTTTTAGTTTTTATTCCTCAATAACAACAATGGAGGAAGCTTAAAACCCCAAAACGTACCCTAAAATAAATATAATGAACATTTTCAAATCAATTTATTAGTATGAGAATGCACAAAATGGCGTAGTTGAAAGCGATATAATCTATGGCACACGAAGTTATAGCAAAAACCCCCGCCAACTCCTCGGATCTTTGGCTTACAACTTTCCAGCCAGGCCGATTGATATCACTCTGAGATTTATTATCTATGTATACATAGACATTGTATATATGATGATTTAAAGTTAAAAATAATAATTTAGCGACTGAAATATTCCGGAATTTATATATAGTAACTGTAAAACATCTACTATATATATTCATATTTAGTATATATATATATATATATACATATATATACATATATATATATTTTTAGTATATATATATACTAAAATAGCCGATAGCTTTACAATAGTTGTTTATGTATTATCTGTATCGCCGTACTTTTTTTAAATGAAAATATTTCATATTATTATCTTGAATTTATTTGAGTTATGTAGGATTACTAACCGCCGAAGGTTATGTTCCTTTAAGGTATCAAACGGATCTAAGCCAAAGTGACGTACAATCCTAGGTTCTAGAATGAAATCAAATTGAATGTGGTTCTAACAAGATAACTGTACGCACCATAAGAAATATATTTTTCTAAAATATATATGGTCTTTTTTACTAATATAATAAAACTTTTGGTAAGTACCTAAATTAATTCAATTCATGATACTTTTAGTAATTATATTATAAGCTCTTGCAACTTGCATGGAGTGTACAAATATAAACTTAGCTGTCATGTAAAGGTTTTTATTTAGGAGAACAACGAAACTTACACAATAAATTATGTACTGCTCGGTTATGCAATTGGTACTTATGCAAGTATACAATCGAATTATAAAGAAAATGTACTTGGTAACAGTATTTTCTCACAATTCATCTCGGCTATATTAAAACGTGTTTAATATAAAATAATTTATTAACATAAAATATTAATTAAAAACTTTGTAACAAATTAATCTCACAAATAATAAATGTTAGACGCAGACTTTCTAAGAAACAAACTAATTAAAAATGCATTCAAGTTTAAAGGGTCGTATTAACCTGTCGCACCGCGAGCTATGTGCAAGTGCTGCCATACTGCGGAAATTAACTTAGTCTGGGTGACCCAGTGAGATCCACTTCCTGGCATCCTGGATAACTATATTCAGAACTAGTTCTTGCCTGTGACTGCTGGCGTGAAAGTTTATGATTATTTAAAGCTTCTTTTTTCAATTTTTTGTAGAGAAAAGAAAATATATTTGCGGAAAATCTTATCGTTATATTGATATTTATTATTTGCGAGCTATAACGTGAATGTTATACAACATAAGCAATTTGTATAGCGGTTATTAATTTTGGTGATGGAAACAAAATATTACAATGTTGAATGTCTATTTTCGTTGAGATATGATAAATATTACATGTTAAGGCTTCTGAAGGCTCTGTCCTGATTTTTCTTTTTTAATATTAAAGTATGTTCATTAATACCACCAATATTTACGTCAGAATATATAATAAAAGATATATTTTACAACAAAAGTGTGTACCATATTTCTGTAAAGCTTTTATTATATACATATATGTAATATGTATACATGGAATATAATATGTATTTAAGCTGATGGATTAAAGTTATGTACATAATATACTGTTTGTACAATGTCAGTGAAGACCTTACTTTAGCTTGATGTATAAACTAATCATTTTAGGGGTTTAAGTTGAAATTCCAAGTCGAATTATACTTAGGTAAACAAAAATTGAACACAAAATAATGAGAAAAATGTATAATATATATTTTTATTATTCTAACAAAAATAATATTTTTGTGTGTCAGAATAAAAATATCCAGATATTTTAAAAGCGTATAGAAAATGTAGGCGTTATTTAAGAAAATAAAACAAGTTTATATATCCAAGCTCTGTAACAAACGGGTTTAAAAAAGAACGAGCCAATGTATTTCTCGTAAAACGTGTTATCTCGGCCGTTGCGAGAAAAACGGCTTTATCAAACCAACATAATCGCAACGATGATTTAAGGGTAAAGTTCAACAATTTTTAGACATCAATGCGTGTTTTAGCAATAAAAAGAACTTCGACTCTTCGGAAATAGTAATTGTGGTAAATTGAATGCTTCATTTTCTTCGTAATCTCTTTCGTCGAAGTTTGTTTTTATAATAATGATTAAGGTATCATAGGTGTTTTTGTTTTTATTTCTTTCGAGTTTTCTATATATCTTTTTTTTAAACTACATTTCGGCATTTGAACGAGTATTGTCGTTTGAATTTTTATGAAAATGTACTCCAATAAGCTTATTGTAACATTTTAATTAAATAATGTTATATTTACATTAAAAAAATCTAACAATTAGGTCTTTACAAAATTCATTGCCAATAGAATCAATGTAAAATTATTACCTACTGCAGATTAATTTTATTCGTCCATACGGCGGTTTGTAATTAGGACGTTTTTACATATAAAATTTCAAGGATAAATTATGCTGAATTTTTAGAATGCTAAAACGTCTACTAAGTTGCAATCGTTTCACATTGCACAAGGATCAACCACTATATATTATTTACAATGTACATACATGCATTGTTATGGTAATTTAAATTCCATGGGAAAATACTAATGGAAGATTCAATACATATGCATGGGTTTTTTAAATGAAACTATAAAACACAAGTGTTTATAAAATATTAACTGCTTTACAGACTTCACTTCTTTGAACTTCATTTAATTGATTAGAAACGAGTACAATTATAATAGGCTTACGTTGCTACCTCTATTATTGACTTACTTCACTAAAGAGGTTTAGGTACTATATTTAATTGGAAATCTCACTAGAGTTACTTTCTTATCGCGTAGAATATTTTATTACTAATATTTAATTATAATATTTTATTATAATCGGTATTTTTTTAATTATAAATTTTTGATATTTTAGTTTTTTTATTTACTAGGAAATATTTTTTCTCACGAAATACTCATAGAAAGAATTATAGTTAGAACATTAAGGTTTCAATCATTCAGTAACCGCTAATTTTCCAATGTATTCAAACTTAAGATAAAAATTACGAAGGTAATAATATTGTTATTTACGGTTACATTATAATGTTAAAATCCCATACTCTTTTTTGTACTATTAAATTATAAAAATAAAATACACGACTGCATAAAAGCTAACTAAAAATATGAAAACAAGTTCATGAAGGAATATAGTATTATGCAGTCGGAGACACATTTCATCCTTACCGCGAGATTATACTTAATCGTATGTACCTATGTCTCCGACATGTATGTAAACTGTTATTTAAAATGAAAAATGATAAATAAAACCTAAAAATGATTTTTAAATACCTATTCAACGATACTTGACATAGTTCGTCGATTTATATTTTTTTCGTTTTCACATTATGGCGTCCAAAATCGGCCATTTTGATTTTTCCAAATTTTTATACTTTCTATGACATTCGACGTCGCGTCATGACGAATCAAATGACTTGTCAATTATCAAAATCGGTCACCCGCGCGTTTGGTCTAAAAAGTGCCACAAAGGTACAAACCCACATACATACGTACATACATACATACATACATACATACATACATACATACATACATACATACATACATACATACATACATACATACATACAGACATACATACATACATACATACATACATAGGATTATAAACACATTACCCTCCTTTGCGTCGCGCAGTCGGGTAAATATAGAGATATGTTTTAAAGTTTACACTTTTGCTATTAGTTCTTAATTTTATTATTGAACAAATTATTAAAATTATATATACATACATATTGATTCAAAATAATTAATTTTTCGTTACACAAAGCTTCTTGTTACCTTTGAACGCGCTAGAATTCTATACAAAGTGGTGAACGTATACTTTTACTTTTTTTAACTATACTGTATTTTTATTTATTCTTTGTGGCATTTTTATTGAAAAATTTTGCTTTACATTCGAATTCGAGTAAATATTGTGTTCCTATATTTTGTATTTATTCAGTTAAATACAGTAGTTGTGTACAATGTACATATTGTGATTATATTGCAAAATAAATGAAAGTTTAAAATAAAAGTATTACATATAAAATTAAAAATTAAAAAAAGAAGATGCACATAATCGAGTAATCATACGCCAAAATGCCTTAAAAGAACTGATAGTCTTACACTGCTGGACTGATATTAACCAAACATAGCTAAGAACTACCGCAAGGAAACTGGCTTTCAAATGGAAAAACACCATCGAAATCGGTCCATCCGTTTGAGAGCTACGATGCCACAGACGGACACACACACAAAGACAGACAGACATTGACGTCAAACTTATAAAACCCCTCTTTTTGCGTCGGGGGTTCAAAATAAGATATATTTAACATTATTTATCATACTGTATAAATACATTTAACGTCGAATCTTTCTTAAAAATTTAAATGATACTACTCTTGAGCTATATAAATATAAAGTTATATAAACCTAAACTTTATATAAATAAAACTTATATAAATCATTAATTAAAAAAGGTCAAATCAATAATTATACATTTCACATAACATACTGCTGAATAAAGTATATCCATTTTTTAGTGGTACAAAATTTAGTCCTTAAGTATCTGAAGCAAAAAATTAGTTCTAAAGCTTCGGATTTTGTCGCGGATTTATTTTGATTTTTGGTTCCCTACGTTTGGAATGCTTTACAGCAATGATGGTCATAGTTATTATAGACAATAATACCTACTTTTATTTAGAAAGTCAAATATTGGCGTAAATCTAAGAAAGTATCGTATATAAGTACCGGCCTAGCCACGCCCCCCCAAAAATTAGATTGCATAAAATTATAAAGTCATATTTCACAATGACCAGTTGAAGGCAGACTTAAATATATTATTAATGAACATAATTATCTCAAATCATAATAAAGTCATTATCATTATATGATGACTTTATTTTGATTTAAGATGATTAAGTCGATTATTTATCTGAAATCAAAATAAAGTAATTATCATCTCAAATCAAGATTTGAGATAAGTAAGATATTTAAGTTGATTTTTATCCATTAAACTTAATCTTTTGAAATATTAAATTTGAATTGAATGTTTACTCCCACTTTGTATACACCTTTACCTGCCGTTACATATGACGACTCACTATTTTCTTAACGCGAATGGACTATAGCCCTAAATCTAAAGTATTACTTATTTTGCGGAGAAAATATAATGTATTTTAATTACACTACTATTATAAATGTGACAGTTTGTAGGTACGTGTGTGTTACGAATAACGGTGAAGCTTGAAACGACTGGACGGATTTTGATGAAAAATAGGCAGATAGACTTGGCATGGAATTTTAATAATAAAATTTGCCAAAAGATGGCGCTACTTGTATGCACTATCACAGATCATATAATACTGTAGTCATACATATTTTACACCATGTATACATCCTTTTTTTAAACACATAACACATCCTTTTTTTAAACATAGCTTAAAACGATATCATTCCACTTTCTTTGATCACTAATTCCTAATACGTGAAAAAAGGAAACCAAGTATGAAATTGTCGTTCGTAACTGCCTCTACGTTAGTTAGGCGTTGGTAGAACAATTTTTCCTCTCCGTTAACTATAATAGTCTGAAGATTTCTTTGTTCCTTATGTTTCAGATTGTAAAGATTTTTTGTCATATTATTGTAAACAATATGACAAAAAATCTCTACAAAAAAAGTAAAAAAAATCCATTTGATTTTATTAATATGCCTATATTAATACATTTGATATTAGTAACTTTTTTTCTTGACCCTCGAAAGCCTTGGTTTCCAATAAAAATATTTTCATCCCTTTCCATCTCTTTATTTCACTCTATGTTATTTGTGGTTTTAACGGTTAGTATGGAATAGATAGACTATATATTATATGATTTACTTATAGACTATAGCCTTATTCAATAAACGGGCAATAATCTAATGCAAAAAGAATTTTTTAAATCGAATTAGTAGTTCCTGAGATTAGCGCGTTCAAACAAAAGACTTTTCTATTTGAAATATACACCTCAATAGGTTTTTTATTTTTTCAGTGGCCATGAACACTTTTATAACCAGTTTTAATTCGGAATCTATTTATATTTATA